TGTGAAGTTTTGTTGAAATCAGTTGAAAAATGTAGGAAATTCGATCCAATATATAAACGTAAACGTACACACACACACACACACACACACACACACAATATTTATTATAACGTTTCGGCCGTTGTACGTTCCAGTTATTAGTTATCTCACATGACACAGTGGATAAAGGCATTGGTTAGATCCAGTGACACCCAAAGAGTGTGAGTTCAATACCCGGTTAAGGCAGTGGAGAACTTTCATAGGGAAATTAACAGGAGATAACAGATAACTGACATCCATTAAACATGGCACGTGGAACTAGAACAGTCTACCCCAGTGAGCGAAATAAAGGGTTCAGTTCGACATTCCAAGCACCTGAAGAAGGCTGGAGCGTACAACGGCCGAAACGTTGTGATAAATATGGCAACAAAGATGAGAACAATAGTCCGAATAATGCAAATAATATAGTCTGATAAAGCTCACTACTTTCACCCACCTTTCGCAGAAATCTTCGACAACAAACGCTTTCTATCACTACTGATCTTCATCTTCATCTGATGTTGAAAGTATCCGATCAAAGCCTGATGAGAATAGCGCTCGTATTGCAACATTCTCTCCATTTGCGTCGTCCCAATCACCATTCTTGCCAAGGCTGGCGACGTTAGAAACACCATCCCTCCACAGAGAGGACCCTTCGCGACCCTCTCCACTATTTCACGATACAAGACCTTTCGAGGCCGTGAAAGGTAACTGGACCGAAGAAAGACCCTCAAGGCCGCTCGATACTCGCTGAGGAAAGTCGACAATTTCCCAAACATACGACGTTGCTTAGCTCAGAAAATGGGAGGAGTGATAGTAAGGCTAAGGAAGGCGTCCCTAACACTCCCCACCAAAATCGAATCCTCTGTCAAAACGCGGCGTGGGAAAGTGTCGATGACTCACCAAGTGTTGTAAACCTAGTCACCCCCCTATGGCACGGACGCTGGGCATAGGCTTCTTTACCAACCTTCTGCGTGTGCCCACCCCACAAGGGAGTGAAGAACAAGCGCTCGATCGTCTTCCTATCGTCCTTGCAAAGAGGGATTACAGCTACATGGTAAAGGGTGAGAGGATGGATCTAAGTGGCACACGCCTCAGCCCTACCACCCTTCAAGTACAACCGCCTTCGGAGTCAAGTCCCGCGCTCCCACCTATGCCTTTGGTTCTCACCAATTCTTCTCTAGCTGGAGTCCGGGTCCTAACCACATTCCAAGACGGGTACATCAGTCCAGCCAAAGAATCCCGGGAGGACGACCCACTTCCAGACTTCTAACCGCAAGCCGGAAGAATGTTTTCGGTGACCATTTCGTACCATTCAAGCGCCGACTGTACCATCTCAATGTTGCTGCGGCACAACTCGAAAGTAGATACGTCATCGGCGTACGCGGTAACTCTGGCTTGAGCCTCACCAGTGACAGCGATTCCACGTAGGACCGGCGGAGAGGCTTCAACGCAAAAGCATAAGGTAGCGGTGACAGTGGGCAACCCTGATGAAACGACCAAGACAGATCCAAAGCGCGCAACCGCCTTCCGTTCACCTGAAGCACAACACTGGGAGAGCGATACAGGAGGCTAATCCACCTGCAGGACAGCAGCCACGTAACGATGTTCAACCATATCAATTGCCTGGGACTGATCCAAATTTAACAGCGAGGATTGATCGTCGTCTTTTACAAGTATCATCCGGATCAGATGCAGGTCCCAACAGAATCTCAGAAACTGACTGCAAAACTCCGTCAGGATCTTGGCCAAAATCTTTAACCCTGAGTTTAGCAGAGTTATGGGCCCGTAATCATCTAATTTCCTCCCACCATCCTTGTCGTTTTTCAACTGTGTGATCACACGGAACCATTTGTTGATGTGCGACATTCTGTCTATGTTGCTGGCTACCTGAGTAGACAGCCACATATGTACCCACCTTCACACGTCCCGCCCAGGATGATCGACCCGGTATCTATCGACGAGACCAAACTCGCCAATCAGATTAACCAGATTAACGATCACATGAAGACCTCCCGTTAGCTTCCGGACCCCTGTCTATTTTGTGCTTCAGGGTGGCATTCCACTCCCCCACTAAGACAAAGCGTGACGAATCCACCAGGAACGAACCTAACTGACGCAAAAACCAGACACGTTCCCCTTGATCGCTGGGCGCTTAAACCGCAACGACCCGAAACGAAATACTCTTCAAGGAAATATACGCCATGATCACCTCCCCCTAACCGACTTGGACAAGGACCACACTCGCACCCAGGGTAGGTTTAACCAGTAAGGAAACACCTCTGGCTATTGGGTCACCGTATGCTGAATAGATAGCACACGACCATGAACCTCGCGAACAAAGTGTCTTTCCTGGATCGCAGTCACATCTACACCAATGGACATGAGGTCACGAAGTAGGCAGGCAACCTTACTCCGATCCCTCAAGCCCATTGCATTCAAGCTACCTCAAGAAACATTTTTCAAGTTTGATCCCCTCGTCACAGACTAGAGGGAAATCTGTGGGCGAAACGACCCCGACGGATTTTCCTAGGCTCCCTGTTCCCATCTCTGTCGTCATACGAACATCTAAGACAATGCCGCCGACGTCCTTGGTATAAGTTGATTTGAGAACCCTGTATAATGTGGGATGTCGAATAACAGGCACCCTTACAGCACAGAATGTTTCCATTTTTTTTTTAAATCTGGTGTTCCAATTTCCACCATTCGAAATTTGTGGAAAGTTTTTCTTTAACCTCAGAGAAGTGCTCGCACACTTGTAGGTCCCTCCCTGTATTTCTTATCCATGGGACATTGGAGAAATTTCTTGGATCTTCCACCAACTTTGCGTCAATGGAAGCTACTTTAATCAAGGGCCTTAACAGGGCCTTTTGGTGGGAGGACAAACCGCGCTCCGATGCTTGTCTGTTTATATGGAAAGATTCCCCCCTTGTTAAGGATTTTCCATTTTTAAGAGGTGATGTGGTGAGGGGTGTTGCGAGGAGGGGTGTTTTGTGACGGTGTGCTTTAAGGAGGGGTATCGTAGCGGGGTGCGTTGGACAGAGGTATGTTTGGAGTGGGGGGTCAGTGAAAGATTTGAAGGGAAGTAAGGAGTGTTCGGAAAGTGCCTTCTCTTTTGGCTGGGAAAGCAGGAACAGATTGTGTCTTGGAATTATCCAAGGCATTCTCCGCCCTACTTCAACCAGTTTGTTTCTCTTCTTTTTGTTGTTGTTGTTGTTGTTCTTCTTCTTCTTCTTCTTCTCCATCATCATCATCATCATCATCATCTTCTTCTTCTTCTTCTTCTTCTTCTTCTTCTTCTTCTTCTTCTTCTTCTAGGGCCGCCGTGGAGTCCTCTTATCCATTTCAACCTCTTTAATTTCTTTCTGCTGATTTTTGATCCTCCTACACTCTAGTCGGGGCTTCTGCTTTATACTTTGCTGCTTTTGCTGTTCTTTTACCTGTTCTGCATTTAAGGTCATTTTCTTCACCGCCTGTGGTTTCTCTTGCTTGTGGGTAGTGGTTGTAGACTTTGCCCCCCTCCCTCCTTACCACTTTCCTGGGTTATCGTCGTGCTTTGGGCTGGTGACCACGTCCAACTTATGTTTGACAGTAGCTGGTTTTGGTTTAGCCTCTTCCCTTGGGCACGCCTTTGACAGAAGGCCAGCTACCCCACAGGCCCAGCAGAGAAGTCATTGTCCTTCTAATACCACGTCGATAGAACAGCCACATCAACATGTTCGGAATGTTAGTGAATTTTTTCCTATCCACTGTAAGTAAAATTTCTGTGTCGCCAGTGGCAATGCCGGTCTTGCCCTTTACGCGCCTACTTCTCCAAATTGGGAGAAAAAAGATTCCAAAAGGTCCTCCGAAATAAATAGCGGTACTCCATGAAGAGTAACGTTGGTTTTCCAACGTACCATGTGTTCCCTTTGAAGGCTTACTGATTTGTAATGAGAATATTCCGGACCAGTGACTTCGCCACTGCTTCTGTTGGGAGCAATATGTTCCACATTGGATTACTACGAGGCGCTAAAATTTTCGCTGCAATATTTTGGCTTTTCAGTGCCTCTTCCATTATTTTCCTGTTGGCACCTATCAGCTTATGAGTCTTATCGTCGGTTGTCAGCAGGGATATTCTTTTAACGCTGGCCGCTTCTAAAAGCGACGTAACTGGTAAGATTTCCTTCCCTGATATGAGCTTTTCATAAGCTTCTTTAAGGCCTGTATAATAATTGGGAAAATTTTTTAAAGGATCCATCTCCCACCCAAACTGACGGACTTTCAACTATGAGTGTCGAGCCGACAGCCTGGGTCTGCGCCATAACGTTGGCATTTCCACAACAGCGGTCACAAATCAAAATAAAACGATGAACACGTAATGACGAACAGAAAGCAAAATATGTCACACAAATACCTGAATTTTACCAAAAACAAAATAATTTCCATACCTGAAGATGATTAAATGTTCAGTCGAAAGTACTTCCGTATTAAAGAAAGACCTTATACAGCTTATAATTTATAAAAACAAGGATCGTAACATTCATAGAGTGATTTGTAGGTTAATGCACCTTTAAAATTTTGTCAGCGAAGGGATTTCGCCATTTTATATCATTAACTTTACTAATTTAATTTTTGTATGAATGATCCATATATACTGTACTGATGCGGCATTCACCCTGGGCGGATTGAGCCGGCTTCTTCCTGTTATGAGAAGAAGATTCTTGGGATAAATTACAGAAGTAGGGTACCCAGGGTTACTCGGATAACGTTCTTGCTTGCCGGGATTCCCCACAGACGCAGAGACAGGAACGACCAGAAGCCGCCGGTTACCGATGCAGACGCTCCTTGGATTTTCAACAGAGCCCTTGTTAGCCGGGTGTGTGTGTCAGACCTGTCCGCTTTGGGTGGCCCTACCAGGAACGAAATTCCGGGTGGCATAGCTCTGACACTACCGTTTACACCCCCCCACCGACTGTGAGGTAAGGGTTGGACTTTGGGGGCTTACAGTACCAGGTGTTCCCAAGCGGTCCACCATCTAAGTACTGACCTGGCTCTACGATGCTTAACTTCGGTGATCGAACGAGAACCGGTGTTTCAGCGTGATTTGACCGTATCCATATATATATATATACTTACACATACATACATATATATACATATGTATGTGTATTTTAATTTTTCTATAAGGATTATTTTTTAAATTTGAGTAATAAATGAAAAAACTAAAAAATTCTATTAAAAGTTGACAAAATTAAGAAATTACATTCCTTCGAGATATAGCTATTAATAAAATAATAACAATCCAAACGAAAATAACAAAAATAATAATAATGATAATGGTAATAACAGGAATGCTAATGTAACATAATAGAATACAATAAAAGTAAAAAAAAAAAAAACTATATACAAAAATTAAGGAAAGTATACAAAAGTACAGTGAATTAAACAAAACAATTCAAACGACTAAGGACATATAAACAACTTTTTTTAAAAAATGTCACACTCTGACATGTCGCGGAAAGAGATATATTTGTTCGAAGTAGCAAAGTGGTTTTGGAATACTGTAACCGGGTAGGATAATCTAGCAGGTAACCGTAATGAACTGGTCCTCGTCGTAGTGGTAGGCAATAGGCGTAGGCAATAGGCGTCGCTCATGTAGCTCCACATCAGTCTGTATTTATGGCTGACACCAGCCATTCATATTACTGTGAGAGGTAACCCAGGTGTATGCATATTCATTACATCACACCATATTTAGAAAACTTATGTATTTTCCATTGGTTAGCATGCGAACATAATTCCAATAACAGATATATGTATATATGTCCACATCCAATACCCATTGTATATTATACTCGATAAGTACATACATCACACGAACATATACGTACATATTTTTTTAATGAAAAACAACAGAGATATGCATACATATACCCATCTCTGTATAACCAACAATATACATATATACATACATATACAGTATAACCCGGATATAAGACAGTTGTCGGGACCGGTGAAGTCTCTTATATCCGGGTTTCTCTTATATCCGGGTTTGGTCTATTTTATATACATTAACACAGGCTCTAATTTGGGACCAGAGAAAATCTCTCTTATATCCGGGATTCTCTTATATCCGGGTTACACTGTATATGGAACTTTGATTAAATAATATACAGTATAACCCGGATATAAGAGAGTTGTCGGGACCGGAGAAGAAGTCTCTTATATTCGGGTTTCTCTTATATCCGGGTTTGGTCTAATTTATATACATTAACACAGGCTCTAATTTGGGACCAGAGAAAATCTCTCTTATATCCGGGTTTCTCTTATATCCGGTTTCTCTTATATCCGGGTTACACTGTATACATATTTACATATATATATATATATATATATATATATATATATATTATAAATTAATTGATTTAAAATATGGTTAACACAGTTCCAACCATGTTTCAAAAACAGAAGCTAAAACCCTAATTTTATTTTTGCAAATAAATTAAAAGCATTAGTTCCATTTCATCTTCGCGAATTTGGAGTAACTTTTTAAAATTTACGGGTTTTAAAACACAGCTAAAATCACGTTTCATGGTTACAGAATATTCTACTCAAATTGAACACGGGGTGTCTAGATTTTCCTTATGACAGTATCATTGTATCAGTTATTATACATTTTGGTAAGGGGTGAGGATGTATTTTACACTGAAACCTGACGTCGGTTGAATGGATGTCGTCTGAATTTAAAAAAAAAAAAAAAAAAAAAAAAAAAAAAATTGTTAACGGTAAAAATTTTCAACGTCATCTTTTAAAATTAAAGATTTTTTTTACAATTTTTTTATTTAACTACGATTTGAAATATTTTCCTTTTTATTTTTATTTTACTATATTCTTTTTTAAGAACAGTTAAATGTATTAGAATCCATTATATTATGTAGGATTATTTTAACATTAAGTTTAAGTATGTATATGAGGTTACATTTTTTTTTTTTTTTTTTTTTTTTTTGTATATGACTATGACAGCAGAAATGGTTACTTAATTTCACTGATTCAGTAAACTTTTTTTTATATATAAACCTATTATTATAATATTTCACATAAAAATACTGAGGACATGGGTCATTCAAAAGCTTACATGTTATGGTATTTCATATTAATTTTATTTTACTATAGGTGTTATTTTTGGATTCTTTTTAATGCGTGTAGTATTATTTAAAAGAAATTTAGGTTAGAATTATTCAATTTAACTACAATTTTAATTACAAATTCAAAATTACAACTTTAAAATTTTTAAATATTTTCATTGTTTAGTTTTAATAGACTATACCTTTTATAACAGAAGGAAAATTACTCATATTAAGTAAGATTATTTTTTTCCATATCAAAGTATATGTAAATTTTTTTTTTTTTTTTTTTTTTTTTTTTCTCTTTAAATTTAAATATTATTTAAGTAATATTAATGGCAATTTACTACAAAACTAGCTAAGTCATTTCTCAGATTTAGTAAACTTTATTTATTTATTAATTAATTAATTTATTTATTTCAAATATATGTAACCTAATTAATAAAGTTTCATATGTATGTATAAATAACATGTTAGAATTCATTTTATTTTACTACAATTTTAATTTCAATTTTAAAATTTTAAAATTATAACTTTAAAATTTTAAAATATTTTCATTGTTAGTTTTAATTTAGACTATATTACTTTTTATAACAGAAGGATAATTACTCATAGTAAGTAAAAAATTTTTTTCCTATCAAAGTATATGTAAATTACAATTTTTAAACTTTTAATTTAGATATTATTTAAGTAATATTAATGGCCCAGACTACAAAACTATCTAAGTCATTTCTCAGAATTAGTAAACTTTATGTATTAATTCAAGTTTAAGTATGTATATGAGGTTACATTTTTTTTTTTTTTTTTTTTTTTTTTTTTTTGATATATATATATAAACCTAGTGATATAATGTTTCTCATGTAAGTACAAAGGACATGGGTCATTCAAAAGCTTACATCTTATGGCATTTATATTAATTTTATTTTACTATATTTGCTTTTTTGGGATTCTTTTAGTGCGTAGTAGTATTATTTAAAAGAAACTTAGGTTAGAATTCATTCAATTTAACTTTAATTTTAGTTTCAATTTTAAAATTACAAACTTTAAACTTTTGAAATATTTTCATTGTTAGTTATATTAGACTATATTACTTTATAACAGAAGGAATATTACTCATAGTAAGTAAAATTATTTTTCAATATCCAAGTATATGTAAATTACAATTTTTAAACCTTTATATTTTAAAATATTATTTTAGTAATATTAATGGAACTTACTACAAAATTAGCCAAGTCATTTCTCGGATTTAGTAAACTTTATTTATTACTTAATTTATTTATTTATTTTAAATATATGTAACCTAAGTAGTAAAGTTTCATATGTATGTACCAAGAACAGGTTAGAATTCATTTTATTTAACTACAATTTTAATTACAATTTTAAAATTACCACATTAAAATTTTAAAATATTTTCATGGTTAGTTTTAATTGACTATATTACTTTATAACAGAAGGATAATTACTCATAGTAAGTATAATTATTTTCCATAACAAAGTATATGTAAATTACAATTTTAAACTATTATATTTAAATATTTAAGTAATATAAATGGCACAGACTACAAAACTATCTAAGTCATTTCTCAGATTTAGTAAACTTTATGTATTAATTAATTAAATTATTTATTTTAAATATATGTAACCTGAGTAATAAAGTTTCATATGTATGTACAAAGAACAATGGGTCATACATTACCTTACATCATCTAGCTTTAGTTATAATTTCATTTTTCAGGAGGTGTTTTATCGGATTCATTCAAGTGTTTGTAGTACATTTATTATAGAGGTGTTTTTGGTTAGGATACATTTTATTTAACTACAATTTTTTAAACGGTGTTTATGTTTTAATACGTTTTAACCACAATTTAAAAATAACAGTTTAAAACATTTTTCCTGCCATTCCAATAGACTTTTTTTTTTTTTTAATGCTCTGTAAATTTACATTGAGCACTATTTTGTAAAAATAAAATATCTATAAGAACACCGGATTTTATATCTTACTGTTCTTTCTTTTTTTATATATATATATATATATATATATATATACGTACATATATATATACATATACAGTATAACCCGGATATAAGAGAGTTGTCGGGACCGGAGAAGAAGTCTCTTATATCCGGGTTTGTCTTATATCCGGGTTTGGTCTACATTAACACAGGCTCTAATTTGGGGCCAGAGAAAATCTCTCTTATATCCGAGTTTCTCTTATATCCGGGTCTCTTATATCCTGGTTACACTGTACACATACTCATATATATATATATATATATATATATATATATATATATATATATATATAAAATCAAACTACACGATTAATCCTACATGTCAATCTTTTATGCGCCATGCGTGATAGGCGATCATGTATCTTTTGATACATGACAGACGAAGCAAATTTTTCCCGCAGTAGGTTGCCATTTCTTTCTGCGGTAGACCAGTTGAGGCTATAGAACACGGTCTTTCTTGCTATTTAACTTTGCTATTGGCTGGGTGAAAAAGAAGATTCATACATTTCCCAAGGGTATTAGCACGTAAGTGAATGTAATGGGTTCGGATAGAATTCCTCAATCCCCGACGCTATCCATTACTCCACTGTGCCTCCAGTGTATTGTTCTATGTTATGTTAATTCATATTTCGGATTTCCCAAGTACAAGTCTCCCAAAAAGTTTGCCACTTTGAGTCGTCAAATAAGAAAACACTCATAATAAAATGTTGAAATCTCATTCCCCTCCCACTTAAACTCTTCAATACAATACTACTTCGCTTGTAAAATAAATCATGTTTTTTCTGAAGCTATTCAAAATCCCTTGAAAATGGAACAATAATTTTAAGTTTCTCTTACGAAACAAATTTCCGTGTCAGGATGTTAAAATATTTTTAAATAATAATATTACAATACTTCATACTTTGCTTATTTTTGAAAAAAATTGTGGATTGTTAATCTGCCTGTTCTTTCACTTTGTATATATATAAATATGTGTGTGTGTGTGTGTGTGTGTGTGTGTGTGTGTGTGTGTGTGTGTGTGTGAAAAGTGTGTGTATAAATATAAATAAATATATATATATATGTATAATTATTTATATATTATATGCGCTGTACTTATTAGAAAGCGTTTGTCTGACGATCGCTAAAGCGTGAAACCCAGGGTCACAAACTCACATCTATCCATCTATATATATATATATATATATATATATATATATATATATATATATATATATATATAGAGAGAGAGAGAGAGAGAGAGAGAGTCAAGAATGTTTGGTTGAATAATCTCTATCTATAAAAGACAGTGTGTGTGTGTGTGTGTGTGTGTGTGTGTGTGTGTGTGTGTGTAACGAATGCACGGCCGCAATTTTCGACGCATTTGCACCAAAATTTACATGCTCCAAGACCGACTTTGCATTTCCCAACTCCCATCCATAGTGGAAATAATCGATTTTTTTTCTTGCTTCTACGACAGTTTTCATGTAATTTGCGGTCATTTTCTACTGGCCAGAGTGAGATCCTATAGCTGGCTGCCACGAATAGGCAGGAAGATTCTATTGGCCAGCGTGAGTGCCAACAGCTGACTGACACGAATGTTAACTAGAATGCGAGCATCCCAAAAAAAGTCGATAGCTGCATTCGTCACAAGTGGGAAAAATTTAAATCTGCATGGCACTTTACTCCAATTGACTCATTCGCTTGCTTAAACTCAACGTTGATTCTGATTCCGCAGAACTGGGTCGCGTGTGAAAAAAAGTATTTGTTGTTAACATTCTTTTTTATTTGGTTTTCCAGTTACGAGTCCTTTTTAAAGCTGATCGTTTTGTGTTCATTTTGTTTAGTTCTTTTTTTTCGTAACAGATTTAATGTTTAGTATAGAGCTTAGAAAAAAATTCGCAGTGTGAGATAGGCAAGAAGTAAGGCATGTAGCAACATCAGCACGGCAAAGGGCAACTCTTTTTAAAGGCAAGGAAGGCAAAAATATTTTAAGTCAAGTGATAGCGATTGCTGTATGAGTTGTAGGATGTTTGAATCAAGCACGGGCAACATCAGGCCATGCTGCCAGTATAATATAATATAATCTGTTATGTCATTTTATTTTAATACTCTCAAATTCACAAATCAGTTCTTGGTATTGTTCTTAAAAAAATAAAGTTTAATTAAAAAAATTAAATTGTTTTTTTTTAATGCAGGGTGAGTATTTTAAAACATTAATAATAATAAAAAATATAAATAACTTCCTTACGTATTCTTAACGTTAATTTTTAGCGCGATTGTTAAGACTATATATAGGGAGGATAACGGTTACCCCTTGTCTTGAACAGGTTAAGATTATGTTTAAATCGTGGAAGCCTCCCCTTGGGATTCAGTTCTTCAAAGTAGCGGTTCGTGGGCAGAAACTCTTTGAGTGCAACTTATATTTCACAAATAGAATATGAAACGAACAATATGAAGCTACATCGGGCGTAGCATTTCTGGTCTTAGCCGTGGAGGCTAGAACTGGTGGAACTAAGGAATATAGTTTGTCCAAGCAGTTTCTATGGAAATAGCTAAAGAACAGCGGGGGTCTTTGGTAGTAGGATGGAAAATAATGTCTTACCCACAAGGACGGGTACACCCTTCTGAACTTTATAGAGAGTGGAAGGTGAAGAATGGGCAACTCCTACCCTACGGCAACAGTACTCCATTTTCAGCCTGACATGGCTCTTGTAAAGGTAGATGATGGTAGGAGGAGTGAGGGACTTACTAAAGCGGAACCGGCTATTTTTCCATATTCTTTAGCGATGGGCCGTATGAACGTGAGCTACTTGAGGTTTGGATTAAAACTCAGTAGGTGCTTAAGGTACGGGACCTACCTGAGGGTACATTCATTCATCGTGATTGGCGATATTTCTGGGTCCCATCTGTGATAACCGTATTGGTATTCTAGGCAATAAATGTGATCAGCCAGTTTTTAGCTCCCAACTCAGCTGTTAGAACTAGTTCATAGGAGAGATCAGCTGTCAATCTCTGGTCATAAAGGTTTTTGGAGGTGCACCCATATACCGTTATATCATCAGCACAGATATTCACAAATGATCGGAATACACTCTTAGGCAGCCATTTATGTAAAGTAGACAGTTGTACCAAGAAGCTAACAGTCGGTGGCCTCCGGCTTTGATCGCTAGAGCTTCGGAGGACGAGTCCTTAAGAACTACGTTCAGGGTCCTAACCACTAGGAAGGACCTTAGAAATGAGAAGAATTTTCCAGTGATTCCATAGCTAGAGAGTTTGTGCAGTAATCCTTTATACCACACATTTTGAAAGACTTAAAAAAATCTCATAGGGTCGTTCATAAAATATATATGTTGTCTGGTGCCTGACCGTTGTGCAAAACTTGTGATGTGCATATACGCCATACGCTCTCAAGAATTTAATAAAGCTGAAAAAAGTTAATTTATTTATTCAATTCTCAAATAAAAAAAACTCGAAAATAAGCATAAAAAATTTTATTTATCCATATTGTCATCCAAATTATTTTTCCAAAATTTTCTTTCACACATTATTTTAAATTTACTTTTAATTATTTCATTCATCCTTGTAAATTCGTTATGGGTGAAACGCTTCACCATTTCTACCAACAGGTATTACAGCGGCTCTTCAGGTAACTGCAGATCTTGGGGTGGGCAGCGATACGGTTGTAGAGGGCCATCATTTTCGGGTAGCTGCTGAACATGGACTGGTTCTCCATAAACATATTCTCCATGCAACAGTAGAACATCATGTCACACCACATCATCTGGAAAATAATATATATATGTGTATACATATTAACACGTATAATAATAAATAATTATTAACAAAATTATTTGAATTTTCGCGGAATATCATTCACTCTTCAGACTTGATGGTAAAATTAATAATTTATAATGGAATTTTAAAATCAAATTTTCTGAATACTGGATGCAATTTCGCGAAATTCAGAGTAAAAGCAAGACAAGTGAAGATTTTAATTGTATTTATTATTATTAATGTTCTACATCTTGATATCAAGCTCTCTAATTACAAAGACTGCTTGCCCGAAAAACGTTATCTACTTGAATTACCCTGTTTGACAGTTTTCGAGAAATACTATCCTTGTTGTTGTCATTAATTACTATATAAATATGAAATGTGTAGGTAGAATGTGGGTTATAGGAGATGGCAAAAGAATCGACCAACCACCTTTACAGAAAATAGCAGGCTAGCATTGGATGTCAGCCAGTCTAAGAAAAAAAAGAATGCTCTGAATTCCAAAATGTCAAGAATGCCATTGTAAACTCCTTCATGAAGATTCGTAAGAATCTTCTTTTTTTTTTACAATAATGTAAGAGGCCAAGAGCCACTCGATGTAGAGTGATACAGGGTAAGTGTCACCACCCCAAACGAGGTCATAATGTCACCAAGACAAAAAGCATCACAGGAAGTTAAATAGAAGGAAAATATTTTGGGAGGAACCGGAAACCCAGCCTTAAACCGGAAACAAGGAATAAACATTTCTATATAAAAGCGCGTGGTTAGTGGTAAGCGGATGTTAGTCGAACCTTTTTACTGCTACTTAGGAAAAAGGTAAATAAATATTAAATAAAATTTCATAGTTTTAGGCGAACAAGTTGGTAGTATAAAGTTGAAGTAGACTTTAGAAGGAACCGGAAACCCAATCCTAAACTAGAAACAAAGGATAAACCTCTACTCCTGTTCAAGAGAGCAGTTCAAAGATAATAAATGAAAGGGTCTTTGGAGAGCCATGGTTGGATTAATGACACCTATAAAGGAATTGTTTTCACCATGCATAGAATCTTCTCCATGAAGGGGTTACAGAAAGCGAAGATCAGGTTTAGAAGGGTCAGCGATTAGACGGAGTGCCTCGTTGTCATGGTATTCGGAAGTTACTGATTGCCTTTGGGTTTTGGATAGAAGTCCAAAATGCCTCAATATTTTAAAGCGTCGATGCACTTCCCACACCCAAGTTTGAGAGACAGGCTAAGACGACCCGCGGTGGGATGCCGAGGTAACGTGCGATATAAGTTCCTGTGACACCAGTCCTCTAAATGTCTCTTAGAATACAAACTGCCACCCTCTCTCCTAATAAAACGAATAAGAAAAAGAAATGGTCCTTTTCTTTGATACCGTTTTATGTCGTAGCCTTGGGACTTAGAGACGATACAGAACGCAACAAATGGCATAATTCTATTGAAGCTGCTCATGTCCTTCAAATAGTATGGTGTGACATAGGCGTAAATTTCTGAACATTTGCCATGGATATATCGACAAAGTAGCGTTAGGCTGGTAACATTTCGCCTGTGAGGAAAGAGGCTGTAGAATAGAAAACAGATCTTTCCACAGAAAACCGTTAAAACATTATGACCGAATCAAGGCTGAAAGGTAAGATTATGCAGCTCCAGCCTACATATAGCAACACTATCCCACTTTTATTAGAGCCATAATCAGCTACGTCCCGTAGAGGTACAGTAGTAAAAAAAATACCGTATATATGGTATTGCCGTAAATTTCTGAACATTTGCCATGGATATAGCAACAGTGTAGCTTTACGATAGTGATATTTCGCCTGTGGGGAAAACAAATCTTTCCACACAAGACCGCGTAAAAGATTATGACCCAATCATGGCTGGAAGGTAAGGTTATGCGATCCAGCCCATATATAGCAGCAATATCCCATTTTTATTTGAGGCATGATCACCTACGTCCTTTAGGGACATAGTAGTAAATAAAATGCGCTACATATGGTACCTTTCAAATGTCTTCTGAATTTGTTCCTTTACTGTTAGCCATGTTCACTTCTGCACTTCAAGGAACTTACGACCATATCACGTATAAACACTATTTCCCGTACGATCAATGATGCTAAGCAATGTCGAGCTTGGTCATTAGCTAGATGGGGGACTTCTTGGGAATACCAGGTGCTGTATTTTTGGATGTAGGATGGTGTAATGTCTTATAGTCAAATAAAGGTGAAACAGATTCTTGTACGAGCACCGAAATTAAGCAACGTCGACACCGATCAATATCTAGATGGGTGACATTTTGGAAATACCAGACCTCGAGAAAACATTCATTATCTTTCCCTTGAAGCCATGTTAATTTATAGATAAAGAAAAGGAAGCTGTGGAAAGTTATGGCTGTCTACAACCTGAAGTAATATGGTATTTAGATGAAAAAGCTGATTAATTTTGCTATTTTTCTCCAAAATAACACTATTAGTGAAGTTAACGTTGATACCGGTCAGTACATAGATGTGTGACCGTTTTGAAATACCAGGTTCTCTAAGCTTGGATATGCGGGTGATTCAATGAATATAGGCTCGGAATTGTTAAGCGGAGATCCGAGTTCCAATTCCAGGTCGGTTCGTTATATTCTCTTACGGGCGTATCCTCTTGGGAAAAGTATGAAACCACCTCTTCTAGCCCCCATATATGGATTAATTAGTAAGACTTTTATCACCAAATCATTAGCATTTCAAAAAAAATCTTACAATCTACAAATAATTTCTGGCTTCAAACAACCTGCAAAAGGTTGATAAACCGTAAATAAACAAATCAAGCAATCTACTATATTATAATTCGCAAGTGATAGTCGTTAAATTTAAGCCCCCTTTTTAATGGATACATATGTCATCGTTAAAATGCTTGAACAATTTTTGACAGTTCAGTCATGTATGGTTTCGTTTACTTACGCTAAAAATATATATTTCTGCGAAAGGCAGAAAGAAAACATTTAAACAACAATTTAAAAGTTAATATATCTTACCATGTCTCCCATAAAGAAATTGTTTCCGCCATTGCGCATGCACAGAGTCCTCTCCATGAAGGGCATGATTCTGTTGAAGGTGTTCATGTATCTCCAATACATGTAGTTCTGGAGGAAATGAAAATTAGAAATGAATAAATTAATAACGATTTTCTATCAGGAATAAAATTGAAAATATCTATTGTTATTTTCCGTGTGTGTAAATACGAAATATTTTATTCTTAAATTTATTTACTTGGTTTATGTAGTAGCTGTAGTTCAGTTGTCGCAGGAGGCAGACGTCGTTTTGTCTTATTACAGGGTTTCCTGCCAACCCACCTGACTAACAAAGGTAAGTTTTCATGAATTATATTTTTGTTATATATGCATTATATAAATATGTGTATGTGTGTGTCTGTATTCATTTCCGTTCAAGTCGTTTAAAGATCGTGTGTGCGTGAAACTCGAATCACGACAATAGCCGCCCTTTCATAGAATTTAATGTTGGTAAGCGATTTTTGCATGGTCTAGACAATCTAGACTTCGGGAACTTTACTGAGTAGGTAAGTCTTACTTTCAGGACTTATTTCAGTTTTGTCGTCTTTACTTGAGACTGCATCTGGAGATAAGAGTTTAGATATTGGCAAATTCTCCGTTATTTCCATCAACGGTTTTTGCTTAATATATATATATATATATATATATATATATATATTGCTCTTTCAGTCCTGTAATTATGAATTTATTTTATGTAATATCTTTCTATACATGGAGATTTATTGTGGCTATTCTTATGAATAAATCTTTTAATTATAATTGTATTGGTGTGTTTCATCTACAATTTGCAACATTTATGCAACACATTTATCATAATTTTATTTCAGTGAACAATTTTATATATATTTCTCTTCTAGTAACCAAAAACACTATTTTTAAAAAGTACTCAATACAGAGTAGAGCGAATAATATTTATTTAAAAATTATAATATATGTGTTATAACATCACTACAAAAATTGCCATTTTGTTTCAACACTTTATATATATATATATATATATATATATATATATATATATATATATATATGTGTGTGTGTGTGTGTGTGTGTGTGTGTGTGTTTGCATTATATAAATGTGTGTGTGTGTGTGCGTGTGTATATCTGTATTTATTTCCGTTCAAGATCGCGTGTGTGTGAAACGAGACACGACAAGAGCCTTCGGTTTGGCTCGTAAACTATGCTTCTTTGTGCAAGAGTTGCATCCCTTCTGACGTTAGATGGGCTTCAGCTGCAGCGTACAATATTGTCGATTAAAGATAGCACTGTTTTAATAAAAGTAGAATTCTCTGATGTAATTAATGGAAACTTAAAAACAGCTGGTTATGATAATCCCCCACTACTACTGAAGAGAATAATTTCTATGGACCATCTTAATTCACAAGCACAAAATATATACATGTTAACTCATTTAATATGAGAAGCCATGCATTTCGGGAACTCTAATTCGAGTTGAGTCTCTTAAATTCAACTTTAGCTACATTTGATTGAGTTTAAATTAGAGTCATATCGATTTAAGCTGTTATCTTGTTAAAGCAAAATATCTGAAAGATGTTACAGATATCGTTTCGACAGTTACTATCTTGACTATTATTCAGCTGCGTGGAATCACACCAAACGACTCTGACAAAGAAGGACAGCGAAGTCTGACAGGACAGAGAATGCTATACTCTATAAGACAGTGGTTCCTAGCAGCAAAATCTAGAGAGAAACATAGATATTTTCAAAGAGAGAGACAACAGACTGTCCTGTTGCCTCCAGAAAAGAAAGACACACCTGTTAGATGGTCTGCCTCCTCAACTATCCTCAATTTGTCCCATCTCTGCCTCGCTCGTCTACAGTTGAAGGTTAGAACTGAATAAATATTGTCTACTGCTATAATTTCGACTCATTGTTTTATTTTTTGGGGTAATGATCTGTCCTAACAATTATTTTCTTCGCACTGAAGTCACAAGAGTTCGAATGGAAGAAGCGGCACCCTGAGAAGGAACTTTCTGTCTGGTCTGGGTTGCAACACTACAAAAATTCCGTCTACGAAAAATTGCTTTGTTTATATTACAAGTTATTGGGAATTAGAGTAAAACCTGAGATCGATTCTTCGAATTTCGGGTAAATATATTTTGACACTTACATCATAATTTGAAGACATCATATCACCGCATCCCATGCCGGAGTTCATTCCAGACCCCATGCCGGAGTTCATTCCAGACCCCATGCCGGGGTTCATTCCAGATCCCATGCCGGAGTTCATTCCAGACCCCATGCCGGAGCCCATCATGCCACTGTCCATCATGTTGTACTGGAATATATAAATATATTATTAGAAAGAGACTTAATGGCTTATATTTAACAAAATTATTTAAAGTAGATAACAAAGAATGCCCGAAATGGATAGACAGATAAAAAACGTACAATAACTTGATAAAAAGTAGCAAAAAGATGGGTACTTATTTCTAAGTATGCTCTTCTGCTAGTGCAGTGGTTTGTCAGCTATTTTGCTTTATTGACCCCTTTAGTCATAAACCCCTTGAATCGCGGACCCCTATAAAAAATGACCCTTTCATACACAGGCATACAAATACTCACAGTTTGAACGATTTTTCACGGAGTGAAAGAAAAGATTGAGGCTATGGGGGATTGAGGAAAGAACAAAAGATGAACGAAATTCAAGAACACAGAAGATGGCGATTGACGTTGCATTTAAATTTTTGATGATTATATTTATCAGGGAAGCAAGCAAACGGAGGGGAGTTCCACAGGGGGGAAAGTGCGAGAGAAAAAAAAAACTGTTGCAGAAGAAGTGGCCGTTGCATTTAGCTATTTCGTCAGTAAATGTGTTTGGCCTAGATATCAATTTAGATACACGTTTAAATTCATTTAATCCGGGCAGCAGGAAAAAACCTCGTAAGAAAAGACGTCCGGAAAATATTTGTAGAAAAGACAGAGAGAAGCTACGTTCCTATCAGATCCTAATAAAAAAATATTTTTGTCGTATTCTTTACATTTTTACGGTTGGTTTGCCTCGTAAAATAAATTTCTTAGTACGGAGGTTGCACCACTTCTTTCAGAGTTTAAAATATTCATACCGTATTTCTGATTAAAGTAAATATTGATCCCATAAACGTAAAATTCTATGTTATTACTAATAACGATTAAAATTCACTTAACATATTTAAATAGGGCTTAGATGTTTAGATATGCTGCTACATATGATTTACTTTAGCATCTAAGGGTGTGCAAAAACGAACTCACTCTTTGAATGGCAATAAATAAAGAGCTCATTATCTTACACACAAACTCAATGTTTAAATAACGGTTTAAATTAAACATTAGATGTTTTTGAATTCAGAGTTTTTAATGTCTCTGGTTGTAAAATTAAAGAAACCTATCCTTAAGTCGCCGCTTTCATTGATTTTGTCTTTTCGACGATTTGTGGAAATATTTTTTAATTTTTAGATATACTGCTATATATGATTCCTTTAGTATTGATATATATATATATATATATATATATATATATATATATATATATATATATATATATATATATATATATAAAAGGGTGTGCAAAAATATGAACTCACTCTTTGAATGTTTTTGAATTCAGTGTTACCTTCTCCTAAACCGGTTGCCACTCAAGAATATAGAAACCAATATGTCCTGCTATTTCACCCATAGCTGGGGGAGAAGAATAGGATTCACAACTTTCCTACGTAAGTGAATGTAATAGAATTCGAATTCGGTTTCCCGTTACCTCAATCTGAGCCACTATCCTTTACTCCACCATGACTCACATCTATATATCTATATATTACAATAAACGTGCAATCAATTTACAAATACATGAATTATTCACACAAAACTAATGCAAAGGTTAATGATTTAAATGGCGAGACATCCATCATCGCAAACAATTCAAATAGTATACAAAAACCTCCAGATCCGTTATGAATGAATTGATCCTTGTTTATATAATAATTTTGGATAATAAGTGCGACATTACTGTAATTATTGAACAATATAGTTCATGCCACTTTGACAAAAAAATTTACCACTAAAAAAATTTGTTCATCACCATATTTGGTATAAACGCAAACACTTTAAAAATTTAAAATCAAACTCAGCGTTG